AAAGAACAATTAATTGATAGTTTAAGTGACGGAATACTGTGTGTTACGTCTCTAACTTGCCAAAATTTCGTTGATTGGAAACTAATATGCCAATTTAAAAGGAATGAAAGTAATTATTACGTTTTACATAAAGGTACAATAAACCTATTTAATAATAATAAATAATACAATAACCTTTTAATATTTAAAATTCTAAAATGCTTATGTACATTTTTCTGTTATATAAAGCATTAAAAGAGGATTTCTCCTGAAATAGAAATAATTTTGTATTGAATTAACATGGAGAACTTTTTATTGAAATATTTTTCTCTGTGACATTAGTTGCATCTATACAAAATAAAGATAAAGAACTGTTTTTAAAAAATTTTGAATTCGTTGTCATAGGATCTATGAAGCACTAGATTAGTGAGTTTTTATTACATTATTGACAAATATAGTTTTTTAAACAACAAAATTTCAGCGGAGATAATTATTGTCAATATGAATGTGTTTTCAAAGAGGAAATAAGTGATAAAAAAGAAAATTCAGTTAGAAGATTCACATCTCTAACAAAGTAATTTGCTTTGATTTAATCTTTATAATAAAAATATTTTAAAATGATAAGGCAAAACCAATTGAAAGGTTATGCGAGATTACGAAGTACCTAGAGTATTCAGCATTTCGTGTAATCTATAACCAGATAATAATTTATATTAAAATAAATTTTATTTGAATGAAATTTTCTATTACAGAAACAGTAAAATTATGCAATACATAAACGATACACTTTCAGACAATATACTTAATACTGTTTACAAGCGCAAGCCAAAGTTCTGTTTATGTTACTTCTCACCTTTCAGCGTATGCTCAAGAATTACCCAAGGTTCATACTAAGGTTAGGCCAGGAACGGAAAAAGCGTGCCATTGGTTGCTGGTAGTGACGTCACCCGGGAGACAAGACGCATCGGCCGACGCGTCTACTACATGATTTTGGTAATGGAAAAAACGTAAATAAAGCAAAATGATCATTTTATATGTGTTAGATACACCGGAAATACCGGGTATATACTTTCCGATTAAGTATTTGTTAAAGAAAATGTTTATTTTATGCCAGATTCGTACGAATGCTAAAAATATGTAAACATTAATTCTTTCGTAAAGGAAAGCATTAGAATGAAAACGATATAAGTAAATTAAGGGAAATAAATATTGTAACACAAGGTATTTTTCAATATTTTTCGTAGTATTGTTTGCACTAAATAAATCTTGTTGAACAGAACACATGATGGCATAACTGCTAGACCATATAAAAACATATCAAAAGTATTATTCTATTTATTTTCACTGCTCATGCACTTTTTAAATACAAATGGACTTTGACATTCCATGAGAAATATATGATCGTGATTTTCAGTTTAAATTACATATCTCAAGCAAATATATATATAAAAAGATTTGACTTAACAAATTCATATTTAAATACCATAAAATTCTACAAATTTCTTAATATCCGTCATTATACTTTTAAATAGTTATATTATCACATTCTTTTTAAAGTGAAAAAGTCACTTCATACTGATTCACTTCAGATTTTAGCAGAAAGTGCGTATATTTTCATTAATCTAAAAGTACTCTTATAATCCCTTACACTCCTAAGATTTCTATTAAACATTTATCCTGACGTGATTATTTGCTATAGTAAATAATCTTCGATATTGGCATCCTATTCTTCCTTCCATACATTAAAAATGGAACAATTAAAATACATTTTCTTACACATATACGCACAATAATAATAATATAAAACTTGCCCTACATCTTAGTTTCGGCCCACCAGCGGCCGAGCAGTAAAGTCGCTGAACACTGGTAGTTCGGTCCGAATCCCACGAACGGGCTGGCTGCATGGGTGTTTTCGTGGTTTTCCTCATGTGTAACGTGTATACGAGCCAGTTTCCCTGAGAAAGTCCTCCACGAAGGCATCACACCTATTACGCAGATAGCCTAGTTTTGCTTTGCCATAATTAAATACCAACACATCTTAATTTCAATTCAGCCTGTACACAATTAAATATTTTTAATTACTAATGTATTTTTATCAGGTTGTTTCTAAAAATACTTTTGTTATTACTCGAAATAGTCTTCAATATTGAATTATTTTTTTCTCTTATAATTAAAAATAAGTATATGGAATCAAAATTAAAAACATATGCAGCAGTTAAATAACACTGAACAGAATATTTACTTATTCTTTCGCTATTTGTATTCTAGCATTATACACAATTTGTTTTCCTTCAGGTTTCAAGCATGTGTAAGTTATATCAATTAAATACATCACACATACCTATATGCATCAGTTAAATAACACTGAAGGAAATATGTCACTCACTCATTCGATGTTGCATCATAGTGGTGGTCGAGAAATTGTTCTTTCTCACGGTGAGGCATGTATCAGTGTTTACTTAGTTCGCGAAGCTTAACCCAGACGCTGCTTCAATACATAGAATTACGTTGGGATGTAAAGAAAGTAACCAAACATGTGAATGAAGTTGGATACGCGAATTTAACTAATCATTCAGGTACTCAGTATGGTAAACATGACACTGAGTTTAAATATCTCACTACTATGTAAGTCTCATACAAAAATGAAGATTTGATAAAAATGAATTAAAATGAGAAATTTTTCAATACAAATGTAAAATAAATGTAAAATTACATCACAGTTATGTATGAAACTACATAAATTCATTTAAAAAAAATAGTTATTTATCTGGTTGTAAAGAGTATTTCCGCCAAAAAACGTATTAACGGTTATAATTCTGACACAACGCTATAGCACAATTTGCCACTTCTGCCTAGGTATATAGCAAATTAACAACACAAATCAAATCAAACTGTTGATGCAACGAAAGTAAACAAACGCCAAGAACTAACGCTGTCACCCACATGACGTCATGCGTATGTGGCATAACTTTCTCCCTGCACTGCGCATCGCTCTTGGGCCCCTCCTGAGAATTACCATCCAGGCGAAACTAGTCGATTTGTCCATGACGTCAAAAATTCGAAAAGTGGGGTAGGATTTGGAAATACGCGTCCAGACTAGGGCCGTAGGTTAGTGAATCAAGAAAGGAGATAAAAGAAAGAGAACATTACAACTATCAAATTTTGTTTCTCCTGAACGCACATCAAAATTTATTTTATGGTACATTTTCTCCCCTGTTTATAGAGTGATAATTAAAAAGACAAAAGGTTTGTTAAGAATACACACCCTCCTCCCCCCGCAAAAAAGTAAGAAAGTGAAGCTCAGAGCACATTCCCTAAAACAGAAAATAAAGGGGGCATAGACAAATTCATGGTAAATAAATAAATAAACAAGATTTTTCTAAGTTTTAAAGTAGGATTATTTAATGGGTAGCACATCGTGTACTGAAATTTCCAAGGAGGTTAGAATAGGAGGAGGGAAGGTTCAACTCAAACGGTGAAGCTTGGCGGCCATGTTCCTGTTCTCGCTGTGACTTGTGCAAGGAAATCTGTAATTGCAATATTTTTTTTTTCTTTTCTTTTTGAAGCATGTCAGCTTGTGTTGTATATGGATGCACAAACAGATTTTTGAAAAAGATTCCTGGGATTACTTTTCACGCGTAAGTATTGATTTTTTTTTTATGTAATTTGGTAACTATGGTAAAAATATCACAATGTCATGTTTCTTTCCAGATGTAAAAAAAGAGACTTAATAATAATCAAAATATGTTAAAATACATTTTAATGTTTGTTTATAGCTGGTACTCTGTTCCTTAACATACAATGATGTATGCTAGGATTTAAACTGTATAATTTGAACGTATTAGGTAATTCGTTTGATAATTTTCATGAAAAGTAAGACACCAATTGTTACTATTTTTATGAATTTTAAAGGTGTTAAATAAAGTAATGCTTTTCTTTATGCTTTAATTATTATTCATTTTAAAGTTTTTTGAACTCTTAAGAATATAATTTGTGCATTTGATCAAGATAAACTAATTTTTCTGTAGTTAAAATGTTTTTGCATAAATTTACAAATTTGTGGGCAGTATAGCGATAAAAGTAAGTAAAATATTTACACAACTGAACATATGGAAAGATGTATTCAAAAATATAGGTATATTTCTCTAATTTAGCTTAAATTCAAGGCAATTTCTTTGAGATTCATAAATATGAAACGCGCATAAACTGAAATCACTGAATTCACATAAATCTGTTTTGTTTTATTAATATTTGTTTTCTTGTTGTTATAAGGTTGTTAGTTGTAAAAAGAATCTAAAACTTTCATTTAAAAAAATGCAACCTGTGACTATTTTTTTAGATAATTATCTGCTATTAATTTCAGGTTAAATACATTTTAAATGATTCTTGAATAAATTACAATATTGTGAATAAATCAGAAATATCACTTCTTAAAGGAAAAACTGGAAAGTACACCCAACATGTTGCCAATAAAACCTAAACAAATTCTATTTTTAAAGGCTTTAATGTTATGCACATGCATTTAGATTTTCGAACTATTTCTTAATGATTTTCTGTACGTAGTAAATTGCGGATATCATCTTTATAACTTAGAAACAAAAAACTAACAATAGCGAAGTATTTCATTATAAATTTTACATATTTTTAGTGGAAAATACATGCACGGAACAGCTTAAAAACACGTACGTTTCACTGCCGTAATGCAATGTTTTGAAGTTACAAACATGGACGCCGCTTGTTCGGTGGAGTTTCATTCCCCGATAGTGGAGAAAACTGTGAACCCTCCCTCCTTATATTCTAACCTCCTTGGAAATTTCATAATCTGTGTTTTTCAAAGTTAGAAAATAATAGATGGCATCATTATATTCGCGTCTGTTGTTTTTCTTTAAGCAGCGTGAATGTTATTAGTAATATTGTTGTAGTCGGTAGTCTGATGCGACGTATTAGAAATAATTATGTGTAAATACTGGAGGATACCTTCGTGTAGATAGTATTTTTGTATATGTGATTTCTTTTAGTTTTGTAAGTGGTTTTCTTGCTTTGAAATATAAGGTGTAGAAAATATTTTAATTAAAAAATGCTTTTATGATAAAAGAATGGCTAAGAAAGTCTTTTGTCTGCTTTTATATATTTTTTAATGTTGTTGAATTCTAGTATTGAAAGCATTCTTTGTTGCTGGAGGTAAAATAATGAACTTACAGTTATTTGCATACATAAACTTTTATTTTTTTGGCAAATTTTCTCTTTACTATGATTTTCGGAAGCATTGATGATTTTCATTTTTTTCATATAATTTTCTTTTCTTCAACCAAACACATGAATTTTGTAATAAATAAAAGCTTCTTTTAATTTCGCTCGTTATGAAGTTGATAAAGTGTACGTGACGAGTTTTTAAAATTTCACTCTGTTACAAACTTTTATTAAATTAAAAAAAATTCTAAAAGAATATGCTTTAAAATCTCGGGTTTTTAACTTTATCCTTAAAATTCTTTTAAGACGCTAACTTTTATTTAGCTAAGTGCCAGTTTATGCTTACATGATTGTGTAAAGAAAACTTGCTCTTTTGAGTTTCACGATGAAAATCTTAATGTTTATGTTTAATGATTAGTTTTAAGCTATGATTATATAAAGCTTTTGTTAAAATCCTAGTATACGGTGCAGCCTTGGTGCGATTTTGAAAATTATCGTTTACGCCAAAATTGATCCAAACAACGTCTATATACTATATACTATGTGTGTATATACATAATATACTATATATAACAATATATATTCCTTGAATGACCCGTTTACTACTCGTCGTATATGTCCCGTTTTTACTGCTCATCATAAAGTAGCCAAATCCCGTGTGCACCGGATACTAGGATTAAACCAAACTTTATTATTATTATTATTTTAGTATGCTTATGTGAATTTAAGAGTGATTGAAATTTTTCTTACATGGAGAACCAAAAGTAAGATACTAATATTTCAGATATATGTAGAGAGAGTTAAGTATGCTAACTAGATGAATACAAAATTAGGTATATATTTCAGGGTATCTCTTGGCACCATACGCAAAGCCAAAATAACAAGACAAAGAATTGCACAAATTCGGTATCCATGTACATATCAACATATTTTCACTTAAAAAAAATCCCAGATTTGCACAAAAATGGTATTGTGCACTTTCTTGACTTCATTCATGTACACATCGACCTATTTTCACTTAAAAAAACATCAAAGAATTGCACAAACTATGCCTTATGCACTCCCATGAGTTTGTCCATGTACACATCGATATATTTTCACTTAAAACACCCAGTTCTACAGTAGAGGCAAAATAAATAAATAAATAAATACGTAATCTCAATAAACTTTATTTTAAACCAAACAAAATAACAGAAAAAAAGGAAAAAACCTGTTATGTATTTTAGCTCTACACAAAGCAAATATAACCCCACTTGACTAATCTTTGGAATATGGTAACGGGTAGTTTGGCGACATTTTGGTAAGGCTATAAAGGTTACTAGCTAGGACTTTAGCAGTGTACATGGAGATACAGTCAAGAGTGTGTGCAATGCCATTTTGTGCAATTCTGGGATGTGTTTTTAAATGAAAATAGGTTGACGTGTACATGGATACTGTGTATGTGCAATTCTTAAAAACGTGGCAAGCAGTGGGCGATTCTGCACTTTCTCCCAATTTCGCACCTAATCTTCGTCATGATTAAGCACTTTTGTTCCATAAAAGTTCTAGCATAAGCGTAATTTGGCTAGCAGATTGTTGAAAAAAAAAATGTTGAGTTAAAAAAAAAAAAAAAAAAAAGCTTTACTTTGTAAAAACAAAATGGCGTCCAAAAAAAAAAAAAATAGCAGGTTGCTGTAGCAGGGTTGGTCGCCAAAAAATCGCCAAGTTACCAAAATCCGAAGATTAACCGTCCACTTATCTGATTTAGAAATTCGTTCGTCTTCATTCTGTGACGCATAAAATTCGTTAACAGCAACCAAAAACTTCGTAAAATTATCTGAACTATAATCCGTATATCGCCGTTGCCACATAAATTAAAAAAAAAAAAAAAAAGAGTCCAAGACGTAGTTCCGGACTGTCCGGAAAATAGCTACTAAGTAAATCTTCATTTACACGCCAGTCAATTAATACACTTTCCCCCTTAATAGTCAATTAATTTGTTCCGAATTGTACAGAAACTTCAAATTAATCCTGCTACATTCAGCCATTGTACCGTCTAAACAATGAAACAAGCAATGTACTTCTAAGCAACACACATCACAAAAGCCCTTGCAAAACATCCCATGATTCAAAATTTCCTGGAATAATGCAAACGATGTTTGATCTTTAGATTATGGTAACTTGGCGATTTTGTGGCGAAAATTTAGCGACCAACTCTCCTACAGCAACCCTCTATTTTTTTTTTTCCCGCCGCCATTTTGTCTTCACGAAGTAAAGACATGTTTCTTTTCTTTTTATCTACTGAACACTTCTTACAACAATCTACTAGCCGAATTACTCTTATGCTAGAAATTTATCTAACAAACTGCTAATCATGACAAATATTCACTGCAAAATTGGGAAAAAGTGCACAATACCATACTCCTACGGTTTTTCAAAATAACAAATAACATAACCATAAAACAAACGTCGACTTATTTTACTTAAAAAAACATCCCAGAATTACCAAAAATGGCATTGCAAACACTCTTCACTATATCCATGTACACTGCTTTTTTCTCATAAATTAGAAAAATTTCACGAAAATACATGACAATTTTCAATCTTTAAACCCGGTAAAAAGAACATATATGAAATTACCTGATCGCGAAAAGTATATACCCTTTGCAAATATGAACATTTCCACATATAAAATAAATAAAATATCCAAAAACTTTTACCTCTAAATCATCTATTATATTATAAACGTCACCAACGAATTCATACCGCAAGCATTACAAATACTTAGTGTCAAATTTTAAATTATTTCCATGCATGTTTACTTCAACTAAAACGTATACCAAATTCCTACAAACATAAAAATTCACAAAATAACTACCATTTAATTAAAATATCACTAAACCATGTATACGTCGACTTATTTTTACTTAAAAAAAAATCCCAGAATTGCCACAAAATGGCATTGCGCACACTCTTCACCATATCCATGTACACTGCTTTTTTTCTCATAAATTAGAAAAATTTCACGAAAATGCATGACAATTTTCTGAATCTTAAAACCCATTAAAAAGAATATATATGAAATTACCTAATAACGAAAAAGTATATACCCTTCCAATATGAACATTTCCACATATAAAATAAATAAAATATCCAAAAACTTTTACCTCTAAATTACTATTATATTATAAACGTCACCAACGAATTCATACCGCAACATTACAATACTTAGTGTCAAATATTTAAATTATTTCCATGCACGTTTACTTCAACTAAAACATATTACCAAATTCCTACAAACATAAAATTCACAAAATAACTATCATTTAATTAAAAATATAATTAAATTCAAAACTACTACTTAAAATATAAATAAGCACATACATTAAATTAATAAAAATTAGCTTTCAATCCTAATACTTAAACTAAATCATGCTAATAACAATTTTCCCATAATACCAAATACTTTACTTCCACCTTACATTTATAACCAATGCATAGAAATAATATCCTCAAATAATTAAAAATACTAACTTACCTAATCTTCTTCAGAGTCTTGCTTACATGGTGATACACTTTTATTATGGATTCAATAAAATTAGTTAACGATTTTTTCTGCGAATTTTTCCTCTCACTTCCTCTGCTAATAAAAAGCAAAATTCTCTTTATCACATCTAGAATTCACTTTAGATAGCGCCATGCGAATCCCAAAAATTAATCAACCCTACTTCGCACAACACACAATGAAGCTTAATACTGCAGCTATAGTACTGCCACAGATGTTTTTCCAAATTTATCCCCTTTTCGCGATTAAAGAACTGTAATTTATTTGTCCATTAATGTCACATGCCATATCTCCATGATCTCTCATTTCCCTCACACAAAATAATGCGTAATCGGAACTGAGTACTGCTCACATTATTACCAAAGTCACAGGTAGTAACCTTTATCGCCTCCAAAATGTCGGCAAACTACCAGTTACCATATTCTAAAGATCAGCCCAAACGATTACGTCGTAATAGGGTTTCCATAACATTCAACTACTCAGCTTACAATAAATGATACAACAACTTGGCGATAAATGAAACAATAACTTAGAAATATTACAAGGGGTACCTTAAAGTCAACTCTAACTGAATTATCTAAACTAGAATCTGTTTACTACCATTGCCACATAAATTCCTAAAAGTAAAAATGAAAACTATTCTCCATTGCGCACTGCCTTAAATATGTCCAATGTACACATCAATCTATTTTCATTTAAATAAAATCGGGAAGCTAAAACAAAGTTAAAACTATTGTGGTAACCAGAAGTGAGGTCTCATCGCCAAAATAAAAAAAAAAAAATGTCGCCAATCAAAGGGGCACCCAATTCTACACTAAAGCTGTCTTCTGTTTCATGAAGAGCATTACTGATTCCGCACTTCTTAAAGGTCTTAACAATTACTTCAGCCTTTATATCCTCCCAAGATCTTTTTACCCACTCGCACACTTGTGAACTAGAGGGCAGCTTCATTCTACCTGAAGGTGTGAGGGCGTGTTGTGGCTCTCCTATCCACTTGTTCCATCGTTCTCGCACTTTTTCCTTAAATAGCTTATTCACCAATTGGCTAGTCAGTCCACCAGGAATGACAGCTATCTGGGTTTTTAATTCTCTCGCTTTATTATTTATGGTTTCACTTCTATGGGTGTTAAATTGATTCAAAACCAAAAGAGAGGGTTTTAAAAGTCCACAGCCTTGCCCATACGTTCTATAACTACAGTTTTGTTCCAACTTCGTCCATCCAGCCTTTCGGATGAACATGAACAATTACACCCAGTTGAAGTTTTTCTTTCGGATGAGTTTTTCTTTT